ATGCCAGTAACTGCCCCCTGCTTCATTTGACAGCTCACCTGGAAGACAGGAAGCACATATGTATGCACAATGTCCATAGCAGCAGGACAATGAAAGGGAAGGAAGGTCGGATGAGCAATTAGGATGCAGGATGTGAAGAGCATGCAGAGCAAGGCTGCTGTCACGAGATCACTGCTTGGCAATTCCCAGGCATCCATTTGTAGCTGGGGACGATGACAGCCAGGCCATTTATCAGAGGTAGCATCCAGCTGCAGCCACATGCAGGCAGGAGGCTCAGGGAGGGAATGATCCCGCTGTCCATGCAGCCCCGTCCTCATTAGTGCTAATGTCCCATCAACCAAGACCCTCACTGAGAGGAAGGCAAGGTCTGCTTGGAAGAGGTACTGCCTGTGGTGATGAGGTCAGACAGCACAGCCAGGGTGAGCCGTCGTTACTGAATTTATTATCCCTGACTTCAGCACAAGAGAATGCTTCAGCATGGGAACAGCAAGGCTCTCTCTGCAAGGTACACAACACCCACACAGGAACCGTCGGGCCCTTGGGGACTCTGGCTGCTGCTGGGGCCTCCCATGGGAATCACTGGCAGTTCTCCTTAGCACTCACTGATGGGCACTGCACAGGGATAAAGCACAGGGGAGGGAAGCTGGGCCTGCTGGACATGGGCTGGGAGTCACTGGGGTTTCCTGTCTCTTGAACACAGAATACTGCTGGGAAATGCTGTAGGACTGCTCACCTGGCTTTAAAGGCAGTGTAGGACAACTAAAGACACAGCTGAGGCCAGACATCCAGTAGGACTGAAAGTAAATGGAAATCTGCAGCAGCAAAAGGATGCCCATAAATTAAATAATCCAAGATAGCAAACACCTTCCAGGGGGCTCAGCCAACCAGAACACGAACCCATTCACTGCTCCAGGCAAAATCCCAGGGGGCTGCTGCAGAAAAGGGAAAACCTAACTATGCTGCCAGCAGTTTCTGAACCCTGCCATCCACTAACAGCTGCAAAGTCAGGATCTTCTTCCCCAGCCTCTTCCAGAGCCACAAGGGCAGCTGTCTTAGCACACTCTGCATTTACCAGGGAGTGTAAACTACAGGCTTGCAACCACAGCAAGCCCCAAGGCTCAAAGAATGAGACATAGGAAGAAGGAAAACATCACACCCTTCTCAATGGTCATTACTTGCAAACAAGCAACATGGGAGGTGAAAATAACTGACCTAAAGGATGCTCTGATTGATGGAGGTTGAGCTCAGGCAGCCAGGAGAGCCACTCCTCCATCTGTGCTGACCTTTCCTTCTGAGGGAAAGGGACAAATGAATGTGACTGTACCCAATGCGCTGCTGCTCAATGATGTCCAATTTCTCTGCTTTGCGGATGACTTCCAGAATGACCTCAAGTTCCTGTGGGCTCAGAGCCTGCATCTTCCTCTGTTTCTCAGTCTGGAACGTGTGCACTGACCAGCCCGTCTGGAGCCTGTGGGAGGGGGTGGAGGGAAGAATTAAGCTGTGAAAGGAAAGTACAAAACCCCCGACCTGCCCCATAGGCCAAATCTGCCAGAAATACAGAGTATGCATCAGCCTTCCATCAGAGAAGTCCAAGTGGGAGTCTCCTCTCAGTGACAGATCACCACATCACTCCTGCAGCAGCACCGAGGGTTGTTGCTCCCTGCCCTCTCATATCCCTTTCTGCTCCAGTTTGTATTTTGCCACTCCATGTTCTTACTCCTATTTGGCTCTACCCATAAAGAAAATGACTGCTCTGAGGGCTGGCTGTCCTGGGAAAACCCTTGCACAGATGGGTGCCAGTGCCAGACACCACAAATGCCAACAGCAGACTCCAGAACACGGGGAATACCTGCCCTCTCCTCCCTCCAGATCAGACATTTCTAAGGTTCCCAGTTCAAACACACAAATCACCAGGAACTCTTGGAAATATAAATTTGGCAACTTTCTCCCTGGGTCTACTCCAGGCCCACACAATGACTTTAGCAAACCCCTTCCCTTTGTGCCTTATGTTAAGCACCTAACATTTCTCCTTAGCTCACTTGAGGATAAGCAGGAGCTTTCACAGCTCAATTAATTACCATTCAGTAGGGGTTTAGAGGTCACTGGATAAAGTCATGGCTGCTAGCAGAATGCAGGGCACTATCAGATTCAGTCACTTAATGAGCCTTTTCAGGTGAAGGTTGGAAAGCAACAGTGGTGTGCACTGTTCTCACTCAGCCCTCCCCTCAGACACAGGGTGACCTCCCATTTTCTAACACTTTGTAGGAGGCTGACCCCAGTAGTTCAGACAAGCACAGGGGTGCAGTGGCATGATACTAGCTGCCAGAGGAGGAAAGCATCCAAGAAACAAATGAAATTTTGGTGCTTGACTCATTTCCATCTCTTTTGTCTTTAGGTTATGCTGTAATTTAACTTCAGGGGAAAATGAGAACAAATGACAAGTTCTTAAAACAAAGGAGTGCTGGCAGCTGGGGGAATGCTATCAATTATACTGAGGGTGCTGCAGAGGTACCAGCTTGCCTCCAAGCCCTTTCTTTCTCCCAGGGCAGGGCTGATGAGATGGACTCCAAGCACACACCAGCCACGCTGCAAACTCCCCTGCAGGCTGGCAGCTCAGAGCAGCAGCCAAGCCCCAGGCCCCAGTTTAGCAGGCTTCCTGTCCCATCCAGCTTCTAGGGTTGAGAGGGGTCTGTGTAACAGACTCCTGCCTCTCAACCAGGATGTGCTCAAGGACAGTGGGCCAGTGCTCCACAGAGGTTTGGGAAGCCATTCAGGCCAGAGATGAGGCTAGAAGGAGAAGAGGAGGTGGCAAGGACTCACTTGGCACGCAGTGCCAGCTGCCGGTCATTGGGGCACACCCACTGGCCCGTCCCGCTGCCAAAAATCGTGTCGGCCATGGCACAAGGCTGGGGAGCAAAGGCAGGGATCACACCTGTAGGAAGCAAACACCAGCACTGAGCACAGCTGCCACCTCAGCCCCAGGAAAGTAGAGGGCACAGCCTTATTAACCATCCCAAAGAGTGACTCTTCTGGCAAGCAAAACAGAGGTGATCTGCCGGCTGAACACACAGACAGACTCTCACCCACAGACAGCAGTCAAAACATACCATCATCCTCATAAAATATGAGGCAGTAAATACCTTCAAAAACCTTGAAGACAAGGCTGGAAGTTTAGATTTTATGGTACTCTAGAAAGAAAAAAGAAAAAAAAAGCAAAAAAACAAGAGCCAAAGACTCTTTGTAAATTCTGCTTTTTCATTTCAGACTAGACAAACACATTGTTTCCAAGTATAATCTCTGCCCCATCACCTCCTGAGTCCCAGTGCTGCAGTACTGACAGAGAAAGCCACTCTAAAGCACACAAAGAAGCTACAGTTGTGGGTTTTTTTACCTCTTAATGGGGTAACAAAGAAAAACCCACGCAACATTCGGCATGAATAGCGGCAAGTCACTCCGTTCATTAAAACTGCCTCCATAATAGCCTGATATTTATAACTCCAGCCTACAATAGCAGCTTGTTTGCATTCTCTGATGTTTAAGACAGCACCTCTTGCAGCAGATCTCCTACTGTGGCTCCTGTAACCAGCATGGTTACACCAGTGGTTCCTTGTGTTCCATGACAATTTCACCACGAACTGATCAGTAAAGGCAGCAAGAGCCAAATTCCACGTGCTTATGGGAGAAACATATCCCCAAAAGGCACTTTGCAGATACACAGTTCTGAGTCCTGTCAGCAGGTCAGATAAACAGAAAGCACCAGAGGACAGACAGAGCCCAAATATTTCAGTGGGAGCAAAACTAGTCTTGATGTACCAAGCTTTTCTGCAGCTGGATTTGTCCTCCAGCAGAGCAAATGTCTCACAAGCCCTAATGGATAAGTTTCCAGGTATTAATACTTACCTTTCCCAGAGCAGACACCTGCCAGCTTTGCCAATCATACCTGCTGGGCAGAGATAACATGTTTAACGCTGTTTGGCAACACAAATCAGATACACTAGCAAGCAAAGTGTATCACCTGCCAGCTGTGCAGCAGATCCCAAGAAAGCCCATGTTCCAGCCTCAATAATCCACAGCACAATTGCCCCCACAGTACCCGTGGTTCAGTGTGCTGCACCTACACTTGCTATCAGTTGCTGTCACACAGAGCTTTCTGCTGCTGTGCCAGGCTTGGAGGCATCTCAGGCTGCATGGCCTTGGCCCTCTTACACAGGCAGGCAGCTTGTGCAATTCTAGTTCCCTCTCCCCAGGCTGAGCTCACATGTGCCACACACACTGCACTCACCTCCCAGCACAGAAACACTAACTCGTGTCAAAACTGACAGCTACAGCCAAGCCCCACGTCAGCCTTGAGAGCCAAAACTGTCATAAACAAACAACCAGCTCCCTCCTCTCTGACCACCAAGCTTCTGGAGAGACAGAATCTCAGTACTTACACTGAGGGAGAGGAGTAATTCCACACAAAGTACGGATTCCTTTCAGTGTAGGGAGGTAGATGTATAGAAAGGGTGAAGGCTCAGTATAATGCTCAACAGCACAGTCCAACTGTACAGCAAAGCAAGGTAGGGAGGAGATGGGAGGCTACATGAAGGGATGGGCAAAGAAAGAGGGGTTGAGACAGGAAGGACATATGAAAGTGTTGCACAACATTTTTTAAACCTTTACTACATTAGTTGAGGTGACCACTTTGACAGGGATCACCCCTAAAAAAATCCTTGAACCCTGGCATCTTTGATTCACCATTTTCCCCGCACTGCTCAGTGCCACACATGCTGTGGGTTTGCATTTCCATTTTGTCCCAGAACACCTCCTGCTCTTTTCATCTCCTTCACGATCTCAAGCAAAGAGAGAACACGTTCCCCACACACGTCCCACAGCAGCTCACACACAGGGGAGCAATGGAGCATTAAGAGCAAAAGAATACGAAGGCTCCCGCCCCCGGGCCAGTGTAAGGAGCAGAGAGAAGCTACAATTTCACACAGAACAGCCGACCTGGGATTTTCCAGACGTTTTCCAAGCCTGTGATACGTTGTTACAGGATTATATGCACATGTAACCACCCCACCCACACAAACGCATATATTAAATTACTCGTCAGATATACCACATACTCTTTCCTCCCACTCACACACCTGAAGGACAGCACAGCCCACATAACATCCACTGGTGAGGCTGAGGGCACCCAACCACACCACACAGCACTTGGCAGCTCTGGGATGTTCAGCATAAAAGCTAGAGCTGGAGGTGAGTCTCACACCGTGGTCGGGGCAGAGGAGTTTGCTTTTCCAGCAGTTGTGCTTTCAGCAGCACTGAATACATCTGCCCCTCCTCTGCAGAGCTTTATCTGCTCTAACAGAGCTGAAGGCAACTCAGAATAGAGCACATCAGCTGTGCATTTTTCTCAGGAGAGACCTAAACAAATTCTCCAGCCTTATACCACGGTGAGCTTTTCTCAGCATGACTGAACAAAAACAAGCAATGTCATGCTCCTTTGCCTCGTTACTCAGCATACGCTTTCTGTTCTCTACCATTCCCTGAGCAGCATCTGCAAAGTGGGAAGGAAAACAAAACACAGCCCAGAGATCCATCATATCCCACAACAGTCTTCAGATACACTATTCCCCAAAATATTTACAGGAGCATTTTCTTTTGGCAGCATTAGGTATCTGCTGCTCCCTCTGATGTAAACTGGCATTGCAGGTGGCTTTGGGATTTTGCCTCTGAAAAAAGCCCAGTGTGGTGTAACACAACTACCTTGAAGGAAACCAGAACGACAGGGCACTGAAGGCCACAGTCTGCTGGGTGGAAACAGGACTGGAGGGAAAGTGATACCTTGCATGGCCACAGGAACAATGACAGCGAAGTGGTACCAGTATCTGGAAGGTGTGAGGCATCCTCCCTCTTATCTCTGTACAGGACAAGAAGTACAGTGGAACAAGCCTAATCAGAAAAACCAAGATAGCAAAACCACACAAGCCTGGGGAGTGATTTCTGTGGGTTATGGTGAAACACCCCTCTCCTGCAGTCAGCCTCCACTGTGTTCTCTCTCAAAAACGCTCCAGTTAGCACCTGCATGACCGAGCTGCCCACTCCCTGTCCTCCACTCCTCTTAGCAGGCTAAAGAAGGGCAGAAGGAGCCAGTCTCTAGCAATGAGCTCCTATTGATACTCTATGACCTGCTTTAAAAACCCTCCACCTGTTTGTTCCTTTCCTGTGATGGAGGAAGCCATGTGAAACCAAACCTCATTAAATCTGAGTCCACCTGGCTGCTCCTGGCACAGAAGCTAAGAGGAGCACTGCAAGGAAGTGCTGCCCTGCAGCGAGCCAGCCCTTTGTGTGGGGCCAGGAGCATCTCGGAGGATGTGCAACAGAGCACACCTCTGCTGGCAGCTCTGACGTAGCACTGCTTCTGCTGTCTGCATCAGGAGACTTGGATTCTGCAGCCAGAGAACATTACTCCAGTCTGTGAGGGAGAAACCTTCATGGAGGGGTCTGAGTGAAGGAAGCAGCAGCAGGGTCATGCTGCTGACTTGGCTCCACATCCCTGTGGAGCCACCACAGGACAGCAAAGTGAGCAGGATCTTTCCCACTGGACAGTTCCCACTTCTTAGCCTGGAGGATAAGGGTGGGCTGCAGCTGGCCATGCAGCAGGACATCCTCCAGGTGCAGGCTGGGGAGAGGAGAGCACCCTTCCATGCCATCACACAGCCATGGGTCCTGCCGGAGGCACCCCTTCCCAAGCAGCAGCAGACCAGCAGTGGGAGGTGTTTCTGGGTGCACTCCTGGTCCACATTCCAACAACCAGCACATTTGGCACCAACTACAACTGGCAGCTGCACTGGCAGCAGGTTGCCACGTCGGCCCATCCCACAGCCAGCCCTGCCTGATGGCAGAACACAGACACAGCCCTTTGACAAGATGCTGTTCAAAGAATTTCAGGCCCTTGTGTGAAAAGACCATTTTCTCAGCACAATAGCAACATGAACATCACGTTTCTTTACCTTAATAACAGAGCACAGCATTAGCAGTTCATGCCAAAGGTCCACTGAGCATAGTACCTGAGTAGTACTGAGTATAGTACCTCCAAGAGCAGATGCTTAAAGAAGAGTATAAGAACAGAGCACAACACAGTAATCCTTTTCCAGAATACCCTCCCAGTCTCCAGGGATTCCCGGATCATGCACTTCCTGAGCCAGGCCATAGCTCTGTATTTAACACAATTAACATTCTTCTATCCCAAATATATCAGCTTACTTTTTCAGCATCATCTCAGCACACCAAGCTCCTTCCTCACTCTTCCACCTCAAACACATTTTGACTTTACCTTGACTATATCAAAGTAAAAACTGAAGGGTCTCGTTGACATTGAGGTAGTCACTGCAATAGAAAACACCCCCTGATGGCAGTGAGAGCACAGCCTGCACGAGCTCCCCTGCAGCTGGGCTGATTACAGGTGCTCACAGAGCATGAATTCCTCAGAGCCCTGCAAACACAAATATGTCCTGCACAGTCCCGTGAGGAGTTCTCCAATCAGCTTTCATTTGCCCGGTTATTTCAGCTAAGAAGTTCACCTCTTTATTATTTTTTCTTTTTTTCAAAATAGGGAATTAATTAGGCAATTAAAAAAATTATTTCATTTAAAAAATAAAAATTAAACAGTTGGCTGGAGAGGAGTTCCCAATTCCCAAGCTGAGCTGTGCCAGTGTAATTAACTCGCCTGCTTCGAGGGCATCACCTCCCCCAGGACTCTCAGCCTGCACCAGGTACCGTGCTGGCTTGTTTTCCCTTTTTGCTGCTGCTCCCTCGAAGAGGCAGTGTAATTACTCTCTGCTCTGTGCACCAGACCCCATTATCTCCGGGAAACCGTAGCAACTAAGTGAGTGTTTGCCCTTGTTGCTAT